CTGTTTCATAATATGAAATGGGATTTAACGTCCTACTGTTGTGCTAATGAACTGGGTTAATGAAGACGGGCTTACGCCATACAATGTGCTATACGGGAAATTGTGCCCGGACAGTGGCACTACGGCCTACTCTTATATCGAATTCCAACTGTCAAGGGATCTTTAACGTGCATGCCAAAGTGTACACTGGACCTCGGTTTTTGGTCCCATCCGAACGACTAGACAGCTGTCCTTGTCAGTATGTTTCATAATACACTAGTACTTGTTGATATAATGTCAAGAACAACAATAATATTAAATATTAGTCCGACATTTCTGACATTTCAAGAATAAGTAGTTGATCGTCTTAATTAATACAAATGGCCTTGAATAGGGGTTTGTTTTACTAGTTTGACCAGACTAAGTCATTTCATAATTAGTCTTGTTATTCAATATTTTTATGTAGTTCCTTTTTATTTTTGATATCGTAAAGACACCAATTAGACAGACATCCATTGCTCTAAGCTATAAAACATGTGACTAGTACAAAATGAAGTGATTAGTAAAAATGATCACCATGTACAATAATAATTCTGAAAATGCGTTGTAGTTTAGTCCCTTATTTTTAGTATTAAACTAGACTATTAGATCCGTAACTGTAGTTGGGGTCACGGTGGCTAAGTGGGTAGCATGGAGGTCGCGTGTTCGATCCCCGCATTGGCCGAGAAAGTTCATCCAGATTTCCAAGCGTGGTTCCCCCTTGTCAGTGATGCAAGACGGAGGGCCTAGCAAGGAAAGTTGTCTAAAAGATCCCTTGACTATTGGAATTTGATATAAGCGTAGTTCCACTGCCCGGACAAAATTTCCCTCATAGCACACTATATGGCGTATGTCCGTCTTCATTAGCCCAGTCAAGGCAGAACAGTAGGACGTTAAACCCCATTTCATTTCATTTAATTTCGTAACTGTAGTCAAGTTTCCCTTATAAGAGATACATACAACATGTGACGATCACAAAATGAAATGAAATTGGGTTTAGCGTCCGACTGTTCTGCCACCGCGGCTCCCTTCAAACACGAAGATTGTACTATATAAATATTGGGGATGGGGGGGGGTCCGAATGTTTAACGCGTGCGCGTTAGATCAGAAGGTCTGTCATTGGGTCAAGTGGCGTGGTTTCGATTCCCCGCTTGTACGTGACAAGGATAAGGGTCGCCTGTCCGGCATCGTAGGTTTCATCGTGTCCTCCGATTTCCTCCCACTGCTAAAGACCCTACGCGAAGGTGAATAATTGAAAAAAAAAATTAAACAATATGTTCAACCCACCTCTCTCTCCCTCTCTCCTCCTCTCTCTCTCTCTCTCTCTCTCTCTCTCTCAGGATGAAACTTGTAGTTGTAACGTACACAATTTCACAAAATCCGGTGTAGGGTGACCCCAAACACCATCCACGATACCCACAACTCATTGTTTCAAGCCCCTCACTTCATAATTCGTCTCGCTGTCCCTTTAAAAATCGTTCTGCTTTTATTTCGTAAACCCCTTGATACCGTTTAAAATGCTATTAAGGCAAGAAGTTTAATTGAATAGTTCGCTCTGTTAATCGTTAAACTCTCTATCATTTATTGTACATACATGTCTTAAATCATGTAAATTGGTACTATTCATAAGTCTGTGACTGGAAGCAAGGTTCTTATGGCTGATAAGAAAATGTCAAAGACCTGTCTCTGTTAAAGCGTGTGAGCTTTAGTTGTTCAAAAAGGCTTAAGGCATAAATAGAAACAGCCCATAAAGGACTGTTGGGGATTATACCATGAATTGTTTAAGAGTTGGTGGTGGGTATATTATGAAGCAAGTGTTATATTCATATGTACGCGATATGTCCCACCCACAACTTCCTGGATTGCTTACAGAAAGCACCTGCCCCAGGGTCTAGATATACATTAATTCGATCGGCGGTTATATGGGTGGAATGTACTTAAACATACATTATGCAAGAGCTAAATCTGCCAATTGCAAGTCTTTCTTTAGGCCTGAAATATTATCTAAATGATTAATTCGACATTAATTTACTTATCCAGACTACAATGAATTCTCGATGTCATCGCTAGCCTGCGATATTTACTGGATTAGGATCCAATTTGCTGTTCAACTTTCATTCAGGATTTAATCATGAAATGGATAATCGAGACTATGTTTTTTTACCGTATCGATTTTAATAATAATGATCAAAGCTAGGCCAAATTCTCGGTTCAGAATGGATCAATTTGACTGAAATTGTCAGCAAATTCATTTTGCATTATCTATTTTTTAACTATTATAGTGAGAACTGCCAGCTCTTTATCTAATCTCCCATAATGTGTCTTTAAGAGTTGGTGGGTATATTATGAAGCAAGTGTTATATCCAAATGTACGCCATCTATCCCACAACTTCCTGGATTGCTTTCAGAAAGCACCCGCCCCAGGGTCTACGTATACATTAATTCGATCGGTGGTTATTTTGGTGGAATGAGAGAGAGAGAAGGGGTTTAACGTCCACTAGAAACAAACTAGGTCATTTCTGGACAATGGTAACTTGTCCACTGCTAAAGACCCCGACGTGCAAGCGAATTATTGAAATAACATTAAACCATATCTTAGTCCCGAAATGACCTAGTTTGTGTCTAGTGGACGCTAAACCACATTTCTCTCTCTCTCTCTCTCTCTCTCTCTCTGCGATCGGTGAAGCGGACGTTAAATAAAGTTATTTTACACACAGTTAACATTCTTCTATGAAGTGGGTTTTTTTTATTTTTTTTGTTGGGTTTTTTTTTTGTTTTTTTTAAACTCCGAAGGGCTTAATTATACAATACAACAGTCTTTAGATTAAAATCTATTTGAATTTATATTTTTAAGTTTGAGATTTATGGTGAACGATCTCGCTTACCGTACTTTTAATATACAAAAAATAGGGTAAAAGTTAACGAACAGAAATAAATTCATGAGTATTGAAACAAACATTATTATTAAAGATACATTACGGGAGATTCGATAACGAGTTGGCAGTTCTCACTATAATAGTTAAAAACTAGATAATGGAAAGACAATTTGCTGAAAATCTCATTCAAATTGATCCACTATGAACCGAGAACTAAGCGGTTGAAATTTCCGGCTAGCCTTGATCATCATTACTAAAGTCAGTACGATAAACAGTATAGTCTCGATTATCCATTTAATCGTTAAATCGTGAAGGAAAGTTATGCAGTAAATCGGTTCACAATCCACTAAAGATCGCAGGCTAGCGATGCCATCTAGCGTTGATTATGGTCTGGATAAGTTAATTAATGTCTAATTAATAATTTAGATAACTTTTCAGACCTAAACAAAGACCTGTAATAGACAGATTTAGCTCTTGCATAATGTATGTTTAAGTATGGCTTCATATTGTACATTCATATATAGGCCCCCCTCAAGTTTAATAAATGCCATTGTACTTGATAACGATAAGAGGATGCTTATCGAAACGTCGTGCTTGTGTAAAATAAACCAGTGATTGTTGTCCCATATAACTGTGTTAGTTTTGTTATGTTTCCAATCGCTAAATACCACTAAAACATTTAAAAAGTTTCACCAGATTCCATCAATTAAAATATTAAAATCCACAACATCTTTGTCAATAACCCCAATTCCATTCTTAATAACTAACTCAATTTTGACGCACTAAACGCTGAATCTAGTAATGGGGCGAATAGTTAGAATATTTAGAATATTATTTTTTTTTATTTATTAATGTGTTTTTAACAAGGAAACAGGGCCAAAAAAACGATGCGGTTGGTATTGTACGCGAATTAAAGATATAAAATGAAATGAGGTTTAACGTCCTACTATTTTCCCCGACTGGGCTAATGAAGACGGGCATACGCCATACAGTGTGCTATGCAATATGACATACTCTTATATGGAATTCCAACTGCGAATGGATCTTTTACGTGCACGCCAATATATATATGGGAAGTCGTTTTTCGTCCCATCCGAACGACTAGACAGCTGTCCTTGTCAGGCCCTCCGTCCTGCACCACTGACAAGGGGCAGTTTTAAAGGAAAGTAAGCTGAAATCTACACGTGTAACTTAAAAATACATTATGCAAGAGCTAAATCTGTCTATTGCGGGTCTTTCTTTAGACATTATTAATTAGACATTAATTAACCTATCCCGACCATAATCAACTCTAGATGGCATCGCTAGCGTGCGATCTTTTTAACTATTATAATGCGAACTGCCAACTCGTTATCGAATCTCCCATAATGTATCTTTAATAATGGAAATAAAAATATTAGCCTGAAAAAGGTTTAATTTATCATAACGGGATGATGGTGCTTTTAATTTCATTTCAGTCTTTGAAACATATTGATTTATTCCTGATATGGTTCTTTGATTTTCAATCCTGGCGCATTAGAAAGTTGAATCTAAGGGGATGGAACTAAAATATCTAAATAAACGCGACAATCAGTAGAATAATATTTATGAATAAAATTAGAGCATTTCTAATCAATGAATTGATGGGAAAATGATATAAATAAAATTTAGATAGTGTGTGTGTCGGTCCCCAATGGCCAAAATAATCCAGTAATTCTGAAAGTAATTTTTTTAACGGTAAGTAAACAAAACCAAGAGGACGACACGAAAGAAAATAAATTACTAAATCCGAGAAATTTTTAATAAAGAAAAGATATAACTGATAATATAGATTAATGTGTGTACATTAATACATCATGAATGGGTTTATGAGGCATGTCCCGGAAAATAAACCGGAACGAACGGACGGGCGGAAGGAAGGAAGAAGGCGATTCTAATACCCATTCCTTAATTTCATTCGACACGGGAATAATAACAGCACCATTCCAAGACCTTTGTTCAATTGGCGGAGAGGGGTGGGCTGGGGCAAGGGAAAAAGCAACAAAACAATGTAGTTAAATCAACGCTTATTTGCATATATTTCAAGCTTTAAACCAAAACTTAAATTGAAAATCTAAATTCACTCACCTCCAAATTACTGCCATAATTGTCTTTAATTGTTAAGTCTGAGTAAGGTCGGGAGTTCACTAGAAACCATTGATAGGTAAAACAAAATAAAAATACACCCACAAAATATGTTGCAGGCATTTTGTTTGTTTTTTAGTCTGTTTTTCTCGAGGTTATGACTAAAAGACTAATTATTTCTTTAGGTCTGAGCGCTAACCGTTTCAAGCTATATAATTTCGCCGCTCCTCTTTATATTCTTCTTTCGTTTATTAATTAACCGATGATACTAACTCCTCTTGCGATGTTTCTTTTCGTTCCGTCTAAAATTCAACTCCTTATTTTGGGATTATAACCCCGATGTTCGGCAAGAACTGTAAGTGAATATCAATTCGGTAACGCTCATGAAATCATGAACCCCCAGTACACAAAACACTAAACGCAAATGATATTAAAACAAGAAGTTTTAAACTTTTTAAACAGTTCTTTCAGTTTCCATACATACTTAATATTGTAAATAACTCATAAGGTACAAAAGCTCTTATAACTTCTCGTGACATCAACAACTTGGTATGTTCTTCAGAATCAATACAAGCGACGACTCAATTGTGTAGCTATTAATTTACAACCGAGAATACAGACCGTTTATACCATCACGCCTACTTCACGTAGTCAAATCTTTCTTTATTCATTCTCTGATTGCCGAGGCGGATAAAACAGCCCCACTGGTTGATCGTTTCAGTTCAAATAACCCCCCAGTTTTAAGTAAACTGACAAAGATGAATAGCACTAATAGAATTGCAACATTTAAATAGCAAGATTGGCCATTTTATTCTCCTGCATATGCATATCTTTTAGTCTCGAGACAAAAGGCGTAATTTCGCGTCTTCAATTGACATATCTTCTAGCCTTAACTGTGCTTCTACACGGCATGGCACTTAATAGATCTATTTACCAGTCTCAGTAAATATTCCACAATAACCTATGTACGTAAATGGAAATGATCTAGACTCGTGTTTGTATCTTATTTATGTAGACGCATCACTATCACATGAGCTTTCTTATGTCAGGAACTGTTTCCCAAGGGCTACTCCAAAAAAGCCTAAGGCTCCGCCATTTCAAGTACGATCGACACGCAACTTGACAAGCTTGTTCCTTGAACAATTGCGTATCGAATATTGATATGATGAGATGATTCCAAGATGCTCGATTCCTAGTCTATATAGTACGATCTATATGAAACTTGGCATGCGTGTTCCATAGACAATATTGCGCATCAATGTTTGCTATGTCGTCACAATTCCAATATGGTCGCGATGGCGTCATGCTTGATTCCTGATCTATGTAATATGTTCGTGCATGTTGTTTTTTATAAATTAATACTCGTATACTTCAATAGCGTGACCGCGTAGCGAGAGAGAGAGAGAGAGAGAGAGAGAGAGGAGAGAGAGATCGGTTTAACGTCCACTAGAAGAGTGTAGTGGGTTTTGTTGGCTTCCGGTTTATGTAAAAGCTTGCAATAGACCAGACATTTTATTACGCCCGAAGTCATCGTTTTATTCTAATCCGAGTCTGGTTGAAATTGAAGATTTATTTTGAGGATATAGGATTGATACTTTAATCCATCTTGAGCAAAGAGGCGACCAATTTCATAATCTAGCTTAACATTGCTCGGGGAGAAAGAGGGATGGGTTTAACGTCCAGTAGACAAAAACTAGGTCATTTCGGGACTAACTTATGGTTTAATTTTATTTCAATAATTCGCTTGAGCGTAGGGGTTTTTAGCAGTGGGAGGAAACCGAAGCACCCGGAGAAAACCCACGAGGTTTGAAAGGCGACCCTACTTATTGTCACGAACAACCAGGGATTCGAAAACACGCCGATTGACTCAATGACAGGCCTTATGCTAACTATTCGGTCATTCAACCCCCTGACCGCATAGCGTTTGTCCGTATAGTAGTCTACATGTAAAGATATGAAGGGATAGGTCAATATACCAGATGTTCAGTGAGATTCAAAATAAAAGATAATCCACTTATATTGAAGTCGATCTCTGTAATGTCAAGTGAACCATCTGCTTTTTAAAATGGAGCCGTGGTTATTCAGCGCGTAAGGCGTGGGTTTGCTAAAAATAAAATGGGGTTTAACGTCTTGCTGTTCTCGTCCGACTAGGATTATGAAGGCCGACATACGTCATACAGTACGCTATGGGGGAACTTTTTCCCGGACAGCGGCGCTACCGCCTACTCTTACATCGAATTCCAACTGCCAAGGAATCTTTACGTGCACTCCAATGTGTACACGGGACATCGGTCTAGGTTCTCCAAATATTTTAAGTGTGGTCTTTAGGCATTTACGTTTTGTTAAAAGTGACTCTATGAATAACATAGTTTGCAGGAGGGGGTGGGCTCTTCATGTAGTCATTAGGACAAATGTTCTTAATAGGAGACCTTATTTAGCCATTTACAAATTCACTAGCACCATTTAGACAAGGTGTCAACTATAGGTCGCTTAATCTAAATTATCAAGTGAACTTTAATCACATGTAAACATTTTTTACTGCCCAGTAACTGTCGTATCATTAATCATTTTCTAAATTCGGTAATTTCTAAAACAAGACCATTGCGCACTATGCATTCTGAATTCATCAATGGGTATCATCAAAGGAAGTAGAAAATCGTAGCCAAATGTCTAGGATGTTGTAATTTTATCCGCCGAAAGAAACAAACCGTAAATCAGATAATTTCTAAAAACAGAAAAGCGCAATCATAGCATGGTCATGGCGCACGGTGTATTCTGATTTCAAAGACACTTTGGGAGAGAGAGAGAAATGGGGTTTAACGTCCACTCGACACAAACTACGTTATCTCGGGACTAACATATGGTTTTAATTTTATTTCAATAATTCGCTTGTGCGTAGGGGTCTTTAGAAGTGGGAGGAAACCGGAGGACCCGGAGAAAACCCACGAGGTTGGACAGACGACCCTACTCCTTGTCACGTACAACCGGGGATTCGAAATCCCGCCAGTTGACTCAATAATCTGATTAAAATACAGATCTATATTTCGTTTCGTTTTTTAAACTGTCAATGGCCTACACTACATGAAGATCTGGCCGGTTGTAGTGCCTTTTGACCCTATGATGTCAGACAAAGAACTCGCCGTAACAGACCGTTTCATTGACTTATCCCTGACATTAATCAGAACGCGACTTATAGAACAACTCGTCCAGATCCTAGTGTAGTGAAATTTTGAACTATAAAAAACGAAACGAAATAGGATCTGTGTTTTAATCCGATTGCTTTGGGAATACACAAGAGCAAGTAGAAAATCTTAACGAAATGTCTAGAATGTTGTAATCGTGTCCAATGAACGAAGGCAACCGTAAAACAAAAACATAATAGTTTCTTCGTTCGTGATACTACATTTATAACTGTAAAAAAATGATTCTAATTAAATGTCATGAAGCTGCCCTATTAGTCACAAACTGTCGTTCGTTGAAGCATTGCATCAGATCAGATTGTCATCTAGAAGGATCTTACGCCAAAGAGTTAATGAGCTTAATTAACTATATCTTTAATAATCATATCGCCCTTATCATAACCACCTGGAATTCCTTCTAATTAAAACTACTATAATATATGGGCGATAGAAATCTGTTTTTCTCCGCGGGTGTTAGTGACGACGCGTGGCTTTGTCATGCGCATTAAATAATTATCCGAGGTTGAATTGTTTGTCAAATTAAAGAGATTTTACTGATTTTCTCCGTGACGTTTAGTGATGGCGGATAGTTTTGCCATCTGCATTAAATATTTATAAGATGTTGAATTGTTTGTCAAATAACATGTATAGAGATTTTACTGGTTTCCTCTGCGGGGTTTAATAACGACGGATGGCTTTGTCATGCGCATTAAATAGTTAATAGAGATTTTACATGCATGTCAGACTCAATGTTTGGTATTCTTCAATACAAATCGTCATGGTTACTACGAAACTGGGTGGTTATTTCATAAAATAATATAACATGTAGTATATCTGAAAATTCCCAGAAAATTAAAAAATAATATGATATTAATCACATTATTAATATCAATATTAATATAATTCAATATTTTTTCTGCACCGACTGGGCTAATGATGCGGGGCATACACCATACAGTGTGCTACAATCTGATTAAAATACAGATCTATATTTCGTTTCGTTTTTTTTATACTTTCGATGGCCTACACTACATAAAGATCTGACCAGTTGTAATGGGAGGTCGTGTCAGGGGTCATAGGGTCGGCTTTTGACCCTATGACGTCAGACATTTGATTAACTAATCAGCATTGATGTTACTAGTGGATTACCCACAGTTCCGAGAAAAACACGCCTAAAGCTCGCCGTAACATACCGTTTTATTGGCTTATCTCTGACACCATTCAGAACACGAGTTAAATAACAACTCTTCCAGATCCAAGTGTAGTAAAGACTAGTAAAACGAAATTTTGAACTATAAAAACGAAACAAAATAGGATCTGTGGTTTTAACCAGATTAAGTGTGCTATGGGGGAAATTTTGCCCGGATAGCGGTATTATGGCATACTCTTAATAACCACTGATAAATAAAAGCCAGGAGTTTAATACGTAAAATAAATGTCACTATATTGTTAGCTGGGGGGTGGGGAGATGGGCGGGGGCGTAGAATGATCTAACGATTACGCTTGATCATAATCTTGTACGTGACAAGGAGTATAGCCCCTGTCCAATCAACAGGTTTTCTCCGGGTCCTCCCGATTATTCCCCCTGCTAAAGACCCCTACGGGCAAGCAAATTATTGAAATAAAATTAAACCATATGTTAGTCCCGAAATAACCTAGCTTGTGTCGAATGGCGTTAAACTCTCTTAGAAATATAATAGGCTGACACGGGTACTATGTTTGTTAAAGATATTTTGGATGGTAATGTGAATTCGTTAACATTAAAACCGCATTACTCATCTTCTGTACTGTATATTTATTTAATGGCATGCTTAATGTTTTCTGAGAAATTCTGCGGAATAGTAATTTGTATACGATAAACTAAATTTCAAAAACAAATAGTCAACCAGAAATTTTCCTAAAAACCATAAACCACAAGAGACAAAGATAGCGAAATTGGATTTAACGTCCACTCGACACAAACTAGCGACGATTCCGCCTACTTGAAATTTAATTCTAAAGGTATTTCAGGACTATGGTTAAATATCAGTTCAATAACTCGCTTGTGCGGAGGGGTATTTAGCGGTGTGGGAACCCGGAAGACCAGGTGAGGCGACCTTACTTATTGTCACGTCAAGCTTGGTATCGAAACCACGCCACTTGTGTAATAAATTGGTGTAACACACAGTCACATTTAAGCTCAAATAAAATCTGACCCTATGCCGACAGATAAATAAAATGTTATGCAAAATTACACGAAGGGGAATTCGTTGATGATAAATGTGCAGGTAGCAAGTAGGATTCTTGTATATATGAATACAGGTTGCTAAAAGCTGAATTTTGCCCGGACAGCGGCGCTACTGCCAAGAGGTCTTTGACAGCGGCGCTACGGCCTACTTTTATATCGAATTCCACCTCCTCCTTTACGTACATGTCAATTTGTACACGCGTTTAAAAAAGGTCGGCCATACGCCATACAGGGTACTATAAGGTGAATTCTGCCAGTGCAGCAGCCTTCTTCAAGTGCAAGTGCCA